ACCGATAACCGAGCACAGGACGTCACTTGGACGCACGAGTTCACTGGTATTATGAAAGGCATTGGTGGGTATTGGTATTGGTACCTTGGTACCACCTATGAAGCATTTATCCTATTATGAAGTATTAAGACCTATCTATTAAAGGTCCGGCTCGTTTTGTTTACTGTGCTTTCTAGTGCTTCCAATCCGCACTGCATGGCTTTGGAAGTGCCCTTATGACGTCTCCTGCCATTCATCACACGCTCTCGGCAAGTGATGAGTAGATTCGTTTTTTCCGCGGCCGACTCGGTAGCGGAGGCATGATTTTAGCCTCGTAAACAATTAAAAGTAAGATCCAATTTCTGTGCACAGAGACAGGGGTGTAAGCACATTGAAACCGTGGGGGCACATGTCCCCACTCGCCAACGTAACTTGACGTTGACGTAAAGCTTCCAGATGGGCACACCAAAATAAAACCAAGCCCATGTGATGCTATTTTACGGCGCGCAACGATTCGTGCGCGCCGGTGCTGCGCTGGTCTAGGTGTTCCGGGCCCATTTCTGAGTGTTTGAGATATGACCTCAGGTAACCTCACCAATCGTGAGAAAATGATTGCGTACTGCGCTAGACCAGGTGCGGAAAGGAGCGGCAACGGGGCCGTGGCACCCCAAGACGGCCAACCGGCCAATAAATGACGGATCGCTCCACTTCAAAGAAGTTCTTAACAAGTTTAACTGCAAGGTAGTTTGTTGTAGAACACTCATTGAAACACAAAAAGCAGAATCCGACAAGTTTTGGAAAGTCGAAGCACCTGTTCGTACTTTTACAATTTCCTCTAAGCCGATGTGGTATCCCCATGGTGGTGTTTTGGATCAAACACTGACTCTGAGACTTCAACAGCAATAACGATTTGAACGTGGAAAACAGTGGGCTTCCTGCGTGCCGCATGACTTTATACGGCCCAAATTAGTGGTCAGCTACAAGCCAAAGCCTACTGTATTACCTGATTACTTGATTTCTATGGCGTGTATATATATATATCTGATTTCAGTTAAAAGAAATGCGCGGCAGATGTGAGCCCGCTGCCTTGTCTAAAAATCGAGGCAGCGGTGTAGTTTCCTTTCAAAATGGGTGGGGAAGGGGAGTGGATTCAGCCACCTGAACTTTGGGAAGAAAGAGGGTCAAATTTGGAGAGAAGCCTATTTATTGGCATATTGTGGGGTTAGGTTGAATCATTTATCACTGTTCAATCCCCTCCCCCAAGCTCATTTCATGCAACTACGTCCCTGAGTGAGGGGCCAATCAGTGATTTTGCTGTCGGGCTGATTGAGTTGCCGAACCCCGTAAGGTTAAGCGTACCATGCTATTTGTAGTAAGCTAATGGTGATAGGTTCCAGGGCCCGCTGAAAGCCGGCTCCGGAACCAGTTATCCCCATTGGGAGTTACCCCCATCCATTGAGTTATCCCCAGGCTCACTCACCACTAGGCCACTCTCCCTATTTGATGTTGGCACGCGAGTCGAAGCTTCCTGCAGAGGTAAGCCTTGGTGCCCCTGTTGCAACAAACAGCCGTACCGTAACGGGTTATGTTGGCAATCTCTGCGCCAGTTTGCGGCAGGTGCACCACTTTGCCATCTCCGCATCCGATTGCAGGCATGGTCGCAACAGGACATTTGAAAGCAAGTTGAATGAGTTTTCATTCCACCCTGGCGATACGGTACATTTGCACAGGGCGGTTGTGCCCGCCGGCCAGTATTACAAGCTCCTGCGGTCCCGGATAGCAGCCACGGTGGTGCGTAAGGTGGGTGACCTGAATTTTAAGGTGCGTCTCGAGGTCAATGGGAAAACGATTATTGTGCATCACAACGGGGATTCTAGGGACACCATGGAGAACAACGGAACAACAACGGAGAACACACGTAGGTGTGCACGTGAAAGCGTTGACATGACGCAATTTACGCCGCTTCATCTGCCGGCCCGATGGAGACACGGACCAGACTCCCACTAGGCACCCCGTGCGCCCCCCCCCCCCTACAAGAAGGGGGGGGGGCGGCGACGCTCGGCGTATCGAACGCCGACTGGATTGGCGGTCCGGGCCGGCGGGATTGATTGGCGGCCAGGGCCGTGGCCGCTCCCCCGGGCCGCCGGACGCTCCGGACAGCCGGACTCGGCACCAGCGGTCCGACGCGAGAGACGAGCCGCGGCCGCTCCCCGGGCCGCCGGCCGCTCCCCGGGCCGCCGGCCGCTCCCCGGACCGCCGGACGCTCCGGACAGCCGGACTCGGCACCAGCGGTCCGACGCGAGAGACGAGCAGTGGCCGCTCACCGGACCGCCGGACGCTCCAGACAGCCGGACTCGGCGCCGGCGGCGGTGCGAAGCGAGAGACAGGTCGCGCGCGACCGCGGCCGCCGAGCCTACGGCCGCGTGCATCGACACAGGTGCTCCCAGGGACCGTGGAGCGTGCACGTTTAGCTTTTGGTAGCAAAACTGGTGGGGGCCCTACCGAATGAGTACCTTCAATTTTAACGCCAATTATAGGAGCCCTTTTATGATCTACGTCCAGGACAATGCTTGTAGGAATTCAAATAAGGAAGCAATTAAAACAATGACCTTAACTATACACTACAAATAGGACACTCGGTCGGCGCTTTGCCATAAAGTGACGGTACGTATGCACTATGTATTGTGACGCAATACACCTGACATGCAGCACGCATCCTCATCAGGCGTCGTCCTACACACGCGTCAGCCGCTGCGCCGGCATCAGTAGCTATACATAACCCACCCGAACGTCTCGGATATGTCTAGACGGCGGAAGACTGACGGCAACACACGGACACACACGAGCACACGCGACGCACAGCGTGGCCGTCCCACGTCCGGCAACCACACCTACATCAACACGCGCGCGCTTACTACCCCTCTCCCTCCCCTCCAGTCGCTCTCGTCAACCACACGACACTCACGCAACAGCAACAACAGTGCCCTCCCCCCCCCCCGCTCCCAACGCACGTAAGATTTCGCTCGAGGCGCAGACAGAGCGCCACGCGGGTAGGTGGGGAACAAGGCGGCCAGCGCACGCGGCGGAGAGGGCGGAGCCGCGCGAGCAGCGCGGTTGGCGCGCGGAGGAAACGGTCGGTGCGGGCGCGCAGCCCTGGAACAGCTCGTCTCATCCGCGGTATTCGTACATGGACAGAAAGGTACGGAACGAAGGCTTCGCTAGGCAGCATACTCACCTACACTGCAGTGTTCATTGCAAGCGAACACGCACGATTCGTGACGTCAGGTTGCAGCACCGGCTATTTCGCATTCGTGTTCACACGTGTTCTAACTGTACACATGGATCAACCCTGTCAGCACCCCGAACGGAAGCGTAGCTAGAACAAATAAGACACGTGAGCGAAGTGAAATCGGTGAGCAGCGAAAGCCAAGCCGTGCGTAGCAGAGAACCATAGACCACCACCCCGGCTAAATTTTAAACCAAGCGCGCATCTCAAGCACTCAGACGAGGAGGTCTGCCGGGCTCCCCCGGGATCAAGGTTACTCCCGGTCAGACCCAACAGAGCGGACTAACGAGGGTCTGGCCCAAGACGGACCGGACCCTCTCGGGCGGCAGGATCGCGCCCACGGCAGTGGATAAACCGGCGGCTACACCGACCGGCCAGGCAGCGGAGCAGCTGGAAGTGTGAGTCCCAACGGTCACCGAGAGGTGGCACCAGGAGCGGGAATGCAGTCCGGCCAATCAGCACCGCTAAAATGCGTGTTGTCGTAACAGAGCCTTTTGTGGCGAAGGCTGCACCGTGAGGTCACGTGCTGTGTTTTCAGATGAAAAAAGCACGGGGCAGATTTTCGTGGAAAGGCGTGGCGAATCTGGGCACTCCCGGCACCCGGCCTCCCCGGATCACGTCCGACGTCACGTGACGGATATCGAGTCTCAGTAACAAAACACCTTTATACGACCATTCGCGCGGAATAAAACTGGCTCGCACCAGAGAGGCAGCCCACAACTGCGCCGGACGGTACTCCAGCACGCCACGCATTCAGGATAAAACTGAGTTAGGATCACACCAAACAACCTCTAGTTGACTCCATTCCACGAGCGTCAAAGTCCCACCCATGCCTTATCTCCGCGCCATCATGTAACTAGGCCAGCGATGCGTTTGCACCGAAAAGCAGCAACCACGGTAACACATGCACATAATATCGTACATCGGATGTGAGAGGCGCAGCGCAACCAGTTAAACGTACGTCCCACGTGCAAATAAACGCAGCTGGCGCAAAACAAACTGAACAGGGGAGCTACCATAGCTGCTTCACTCGCTCTGCAACCAAACGGAATCGTATAAAAATGAACAAGACAACGTGCTCCATGTCTGTGCACCTGACGTCACGGAACATGCAAACTAGTGGGCTCGGCGCCGCCGGCGCGGTGCGCTAAACAACACCAGAGTCGACGGGCGCCTCCCACTGAACTGTAATATACACAGGGAAACGGCTAAACACACAAACCCGAACACCCAGGGGAGAGATGCGATTATTGCGAGTGCGCAACATAAAACGGCAAGTATTCGGTATGACTCGCACCGATAGATTGATGACAGCCGTTGTGTCCATCACACATAAACTGAATAAAGCCGCGGCCATGAGCTATTACGCAGACACGTAACAATTAAACTACACACTTAAATGCTGATGTAACGCCGTTTCAGAGCTGAATTTCGCGAGAACAACCATCTGAAGAAAAACTGTGCCTGAATGTCACACCACCGTAATGCCTTCCCGCACTGGTCAAACGACACACCAACACGCAATCGGGCACCATCTGAGGCGACATGAAAAGACCCCAGTCCCGCCCGACACCCACCCATCCCAGACATCCCTGAACGCCGAGAGAGCGAGGTCCTCCTATTGAGCGAGTCTGACCTGCGAACCAGCGCTTGCTGGCCGACGGCGGGCCGACGGCGGACCAGTGACGGACCAGCGCCGGACCCTGGCCGGCCGGGGCGGGGCCAGGACAGGGGCCGCCCTCAGGGGGGGGGGGGGGGATACAGGGACGGGGGTGGGGAGGGCGTCCGGTCGCCCGCCCCGTGGCAAGGCGGCGCGTCCGGCCAGCGGCCGAGGAATGTCTTGCGGGACAGCACCGAGCCGGAGCCGGAGCCGGAGCCGGAGCCTGACGGCGGGTACGCCGGCGGTGGCCCGACAGACGCCAGTACATCCCACAGGCCTGCCGGCGGCCGCAGCTCCAGCGAGCGCCGGCCATCCACGCAGACCGGCGCCGACATGGCCCGGCCGGCCCAGACACGGTACAAAAATAGATAGGCTCTGCGCGCTGGCGGCGCGCTGGTCCCGGTATCACAGCGGCTACTCGACGGCGAACCCGCACGTCTCCTCCACGGCTTGGGTCAGCTTGTCGTACATGACCTGCGGAGGAGACGGGGGCATCAGGCACGGCCGTGCGCCGGGCCCTCCACGGGCGGACCTGTACAAGGGCCTCGGCCGTCGGAGGACGGGCGGCGCAGGCCCCGCCGACCACCCACGTGCAGCACGCGAGGTCTACCCGTTGAGCGCGCAGCACATCAGAACACGTGGAATACACCGCAGCAGGTGTTGGCGATGCACTGGACGCGAAGTAAGCAAGCCTGAGGCAAAGACTTGCCAAATCCTGCTCAGAATGGACCAAAACGTACACCGACACGGCCCATGTCCACGTGACAGAGCCGCGCAAACGAGCCGGGAACGTCTAACCCGCAAGCACTGGCAGTAAAGCGATGCCTAACGCGACACACGCCCAACGAAATATCAGCTAAGAAGCACGATCCGCACCAACAGCCTGTACACGCGTAACAACGCGACCATCGCCACGCCACGCTCGCACCGATCGCCCACGTCATCGCTCCACAAAGCACCGAAACGCCACACCCACTCTGGCGCTCTCCGCAGCCCGCGGAGAGCGCCGGCCGCCGGGCAGCCCACTCTCGGCAGCGGCCCCGCCCGGCCGGCGCCCCCCGCTACCGAGCCCCCGACGGTGACCCGACCCAGCGACGACCGGCGCCCAGGTCACTCGCCCACCGACCTCGTAGCTGGGGTACTTGGGCACGTCCAGTCGGTTGAAGCACGTGTGCGCCTTGGGCAGGTTGCCCACCGGCGCGTCGATCACGTGGATGGTGAAGAGACGCGGCCCAGCGGCACCCGTCGAGCCCTGGCGGCAGGCGACGGAGGCAGAGCTTAGCACGCGGCCGCCAGGGGGCACGGAAGGAAACGCGCTAGCAGGGCGGACGGCATCGAGACTTAATTACAGCAGAGACCGCTCACACTGTCACGTCTGCATTGAGACGTTGATTGCAGTCGCGGATACAGGGAAGACGTTTCTCCGCGGATGTTGCCAATTAAGTTTACAGAATGACGTGCCAAGTGACACTGATTTGCCACAGCATCAGGGCGAAGAAATATATCAGCCATGGCAGCGTTCAATTTGGCGCCCAGTCGGCATCTACCCTGCTTGACGTCACTCTTTGATGTTGACTCGGCTGATAACGCACACGAAAGAAACCGAAATGGGGTTTGTCACTGCGACGACGACGTTCTTCCGTTCCCCTCTGCGCCACACGCGTTGATGCACCTGGTGACTACGACCTATTGTCCCGGCCAGCCTTAACCCGCGCCGCCGCGGAGGTCACGGCAGACGCGCCATATTCACCCTCCGCCTCCTGGTCCCATCCTGGCATTGATATCACTCACATATCTTTCTCCGTAATGACGGTGATCTTGTCAGATTTAAATGTGACGGTGAGCTTGCCAGATGTCCGATATATATGCTTTTGATATAAACAACACACAAAGATTGCTATGGCCACCAATCACAGGGGAGAAAAAGTGACTTAAGGACGAAACGGACCAAACCACGCAAACCCCGCCGGCACAGCACTCAAAGGCGGTCAGATCCCCCACAGACGACGCCAGTCGAGTATAGATCAACCGGCTACCTACTAGGCCACCCCAAACCACATGCTCCCCGCTGCTCGTCAGCGACCCCTCCCGCGCCCAGGTCGTCCGCGCGGGCTACCTCCGCAAGGCGCCCGCACTGGGCGGCGCGCCAGCTCACCTGGAGCGCCTTGAAGCCCTGTAGCGGCACGCGGCTGCTGCCGGTGACGAACTGTAGCAGGCGCGCGCGCATCTCCTCGCTGTACGAGTCGACGATCCGCCAGAACCACCGCACCACGTCGTCCTCGGCCGTGCAGTGCTGCCGACACCGGCGGAGGTCAGGTCAGGTCGAGTCACAGCGGTTCACGTCAGGCCACGGCAGTTCGTGTCAGGTGAAGCCACGGCAGCTCCTGCTAGGTCGCATCAGGTCAGGTCAGGTCAGGCTACGGCAGGCGGCCGGCCGGCTCAGGACAGCGGTCAGCCCTGGCTGGCGGTTAGCTCCGGCAAGGACGACCTTTCGGTGCCCCTCCCCAGTGAGCTCGAACGGCTCGATCGCAGCGCCCAGGGCCGCGTCCGCTTCTGGGGGACCGTCCCGCCCACGGCGCACACACAAGCTCACGCGGCGGCCGCACCGTGGCATGTAACGCACACCACCCAACCCGGTGCCATCACGTCACGTCTTGACGCGCCACGGCGCCCCGCGCGCCGAGAACCAGCCCAGCACGAGAGATGTCACTCCAGTCCCTGTCCGCTCGTTCCACCCAGCACGGACTGCAGAAGGTGACCGCCTTGTTCCGTTCCCCTCACACCAGCGGGTCCACACAGACCTCCACAAGCCGCCGCGCCCGCCGCCGGCCCCACCTCTCCCTCACCTTGAGCCGCGTGTTCTGCTTCCAGTCATCCACGTCGATCTTGCCCAGACCGCCGATCAGCAGCTCCAGCTCCCTCTCGTCGAACGTCTGGCAACGGCCGGCGCGGTCAGGTACGCCAGCTGTCCGCGGGCCCACAAACCGGGCCCGGGCGGGCACGGGTAAACGGGAACCCCCCCCCCCCCCCTACACAGTGGCCCCCAAACAGTGGCCTCCAGCAGAACGCCAAGTTGTCAGTCGTTCGTTCCGACGTTCAGCCCATAGCCGTCGGGACCATGTGTGGTGGTGGCAGATGTGCACCACTGTAAAACCGCTCCATGCAAGAGCACACGCCGCGTCCTTTTGAGACATTCGGTGACTGTGTGGCGCCAGAGTGATAAAACACCTAGCATTACGATGCGCCGGGTGCAGCTGGGCGCCTACACTTCGAGAACAAGTCAGCCAAATTGTCTGATGGTAGCGTCTCGTTCACTATGGTTAAATCTCACTGCATTCGGCGTACCAAAAGAAAAAGAAGAAGAATGTTGAGCATGAGACTTCGATTTTAGAAAACCAAAAGTTGAGATGCGGCGGTCGAGTTGAGCTCTACAAAAAAAAACAGACTACGGAATCAATCCTTGGCCACTCTCAAAGGCACTTTCCTCGCTGGTTGACCTGCCAGTGTCGTGGCCGTCCTTCCTCGCACCTCAACTTCACATAGTTCCGTTTGCGAGTTCTGCAGGCCGTGGCTAGACGCCAGCCATCTCCGGCTTTCCAAGCCGTGGCAGGGCGAGCCACGCCCGACCCTCCGGACACCTCCGGCTCTCGCCGCAGCTTACTGACTTTGCACACGCTCATGCTCGCCGTCCACAGTTTCCAGCCGCGGCCGGTCCTACGCCTAACCCTCCCCAGTGATCAAGAACAGATCCATCATGACCTTTGATGTGCGTCTGCGGTCGTGGCGCGGTTCACGCCTCCACTCCTTGACCTTGAGCAGGCCCATCATGACCTTTGACCCGCGCATGCCGTCGCGGCGCGGTCCACAATCGATCCCCTGACCTCGAGCAGACCCATCATGACATTTGACCCCAGTCTGTCGTGGCGGCGCCGTTCGCGCCAGCTCGCCGCCGCCCTGACCTTGAGCAGGCTCTGCGGGATGATCTCGGTGAAGCCCTTCTGCAGACTGAGGAACTGCTGCTCGATGCCCTCCATGAAGCGCAGCTGGACGTACAGTTTGACGTACTCGCGCTTCGTCTCGTCAGTGACGTGCAGCTCCCGGCCGCCTGGCCGGCGCCCGGAGACAGGTCAGCCGGGCACACAGACAGTACATGGCACAGCCAGACAGAACAGGGGAATAGAGCGGGCAGACAGACAGTGTGTGGCGCAACGAGAAAGGTCAGGGGAAGACAGCGGAAAGACATACAGCGAACGGAGCAACGAGACACTTCAGGGGAAGACAGCGGGAGGACAGAATATGGGCGGTACGAGGCCGGTCCCGGGAAGTCAGCGGGAAGACAAGGCAGAGGACGGCACAACGATGCAGGTCACCCCCTGCCGCTGTGTCCACCAGTCCCTGACCCGACCCCTGCCGCTGCGTCCACCAGTCCCTGGCCCAATCCCTGCCGCTGTGTCCACTAGTCCCTGACCCAACCCCTGCCGCTGTGACCACCAATCCCTGACCCAACCCCTGCCGCGGTGTCCACCAGTCCCTGACCCGACCCCTGCCACTGTCTCCACCAGTCCCTGACCCGACCCCTGCCGCTGTCTCCACCAGTCCATGACCCAACCCCTGCCACTGTCTCCACCAGTCCCTGACCCGACCCCTGCCGCTGTCTCCACCAGTCCCTGACCAGACCCCTGCCGCTGTGTTCGCCAGTCCCTGACCCGACCGCTGCCGCTGTGTCCACCAGTCCCTGCCCCGACCGCTGCCGCTGTCTCCACCAGTCCCTGACCCGACCCTGGCCGCTGCCTCACCGGGCTTGAGATCGCGCACGGTGATGTGGCCGTAGTTGTCGTGCTCCACGCTGAACGTTGTGTCGATGACGCCCTCGATGTCGTTCTCCCTGCGCGGACACCGGAGCCGGTCAGAGCAAGCCCATCGGAGGCGCCGCAAACAGATCAGCGGCGTCGCACCGCAGCGGCGCGCGGCGGAGTTCACGGACCTCCACTGGAGGCACCGCAGCCCGGCCGCGCCCACGGCATCCAGCTGGGAGCGAACTCTGCCGGCCTACGCTGACGGCATCCAGCTGGGAGCGAACTCTGCCGGTCTACGCTGACAGCATCCAGCTGGGAGCGAACTCTGCCGGCCTACGCTGACGGCATCCAGCTGGGAGCGAACTCTGCCGGTCTACGATGACGGCATCCCGTTGGAATGACCGCTCTCGTCTGAGGTTCGTACAGCCTGTTGTGACGTCTGTTTCATGAGTCTGGGCTAGTAAAGGCCACGTGTGACCACAGTCAACAAGTCAAGTTAGACCCTACGCGCGAGCTTCCGCAGGACACGCAGCTAAACGCCACGCGGCTGGATCGATACCACTCAGGGAGCGCCAGAACACGTCCGTACGGACGGCCACTGGGAGCCTTCATCGTCATCGGGCTTTACAACACACTCAGCAGCTAGGACTGCACAGCATCGCCCTCCCCTCGTCCTGGCAGCAGGCTGGTTCTCCAGAAGCACGGCTCAAACACCACACCATCGGCGCCCCGATGGGAGCCTTACCCACAGCACAGCACGTCACCGAGCGCAGACCCGACCGCATCTGCAGCGAGGCCCTCCGAACTCACAGAATCCAGGTGAGACTGCGGTGCAGGTCCGGATCGACCAGCTCGATGTCCGGCAGCGAGATGGGCTTGTTGAGCAGCATCTTGTAGAAGGGCATGGCGAAGCCGCCGTCGATGTAGTGGCCGTGGAACACCGCCATGCCGATCACGCGGCCCACGAAGTGGAAGTACGAGAGGTGCTCCTGCGGGCGGATGGCGCGTGCGACCATCAGCGGCGCGCTCGTCCAGCGCGGCCCGGCCAGGTGGCGCTAAACAGACAGCATTCCAAGCAGTGCCACCACCCCTGTGGACAGTGCCACTACCCTCGTGGACTTGGACCGGCGCGTCTAGCGCGCGGGACACTACCGCGCCTCTAGCTCTGTCAGCAACAAGTCTCCGCGTACGTGGTGAGCGCTGAGGGGGCGACTGTCGGCGTAAGCCGCGCTCACGCTCTTGTATGGACACGGTCCTGGCGCTGAACACGAGCCGGCCGGGGACCTTGGGACCACAGGGGACCGGCACCGTGCGGACCCACGCCCAAGACCACCGCCGGGACCGTCCCCCGGAGGCCAGCGAGGTCGAGACACTGCAGCACCGGGGCGAGCCGCGCCATAAGCCGGAGAGCCGGGCCTCCTCGACGGCAGGGGACAGCACCTCGCGGAACACACCACATCGCGCCGGACTCTTTCCTCGACCTTCGCCGCTCTCTCCCCGGCCCTTGCCGCTCCCCCCCCCCCCCCCCCCCCCCCCATCCCTCGCCGCTCTCTCCCCGACGCCGCGCCGCCCTCACCGGGTTCACATCGGAGTTGGCGTTGATCTGCAGCGTGTAGATGTCGTCACGACTGTACTGGAACAGGCCGTAGTAGGGGTTGAGCATCTCGTGCGAGAGCAAGTACAGCCACTCGCGCGCCACGCCGCCGTAGTCGAGACCCTCCTCGCCGCGGAACTTCACCATCAGCCGCTTCCGCAGGTCCTTCGGTGACTTCTTCATCACCAGACGGTACGACTCCTGCGAGACCGGGAGCGGTGGGCGGGGTCAGCGCGTGGCGGACGGCGGTGGGTCATGGCAGCCACCGAGCTGGCACGCGTGAGCGCGCCATTGCTCAAAAAGCGCACCAAGCATCTGTTGCGCGCCGCCCCAAACCCCGCACCCACTCCGAACCCAGCTTGCCAACGCAATCCCACCGGAGCCGACGCTCCGAAAGGCATGGCAACTGGCGCCGGTGCGGAGCACACAATATTGCGCATCGCCGGGTGGGTGACGAGGTACGCCCCGACATCTCCAGTCGCCAACACCTCTCCCCAACCGCAATCGCCAGACCTGCGCCGCAGCCCCAAGAAACCAGCCGGCACCGCACGGCACAGCACGGCACCGCACGGCGCGGCATGGCGCGGCACGGCACGGCTCGGAACGGCACGGCACGGCTCGGCACGGCTCGGCACAGCACGGCACGACACGGCACGACACGGCACGGCACAGCACAGCATGGCACGGTACGGCTCGGCTCGGCACGGCACGGCACGGCACGGCTCTGCACGGCACGGCACGGCACGGCGTCCCGATCGGCGCCGCCGCCGGCAGCCGGACACCCGACTCACCTCGAACACCTCGTCGCGGCCGACCTCGAGCCGGCAATGGCCCGACTGGGGCTGCAGCGTGCCCAGCTCGGCCCGCAGCACCTTCATCTTGGCCACCAGGTCGCGCCGGTACTTGGGCAAGATCTCCTGTCGACGGCGCGGTCAGCATCAGTGCCCGGCCGAAGGACACGGTCCGGGACAGGCGCCGACCGCCGGCTGTCACTCGGCCGGCGCAGGATAACAGCGACGCGCCGAGGCACCCAGAACGCGACGAGCGCTCACCGGCCCGAACCAGATCGCGGCTTGAGCGTATCTGAACGCGGCTACATCTGGCCAGCAATGATCCCCAAGCATCCTCGCAACATGCGGGGATCACTTCCCACATGCCGCTGTTGTTGGCTGGGCTTTTTGGGCGCGTCAGGTCATGGCCCACAGCAAACGTCAACAACGGGGACTCGTCGGCGTGTGTCCGTACCGGCTGCACATCCATCGGACCGACCCTGCACTGTGCCACTGGGACGCTGACACCGCCGACGCGTTCCCTCCCTCGGACACACACAGTCCAGCAGACCCGAGCAGCCGCCGTCCGCCGCCGGGCGTCCGCCAGCGCCGCCCGGCCCTGCTCACCTGCGCCGCCCAGCCCACCTCTCCCGGCCCTGCTCACCTGCGCCGCCCAGCCCACCTCTCCCGGCCCTGCTCACCTGCGCCGCCCGGCCCACCTCTCCCGGCCCTGCTCACCTGCGCCGCCCAGCCCACCTCTCCCGGCCCTGCTCACCTGCGCCGCCCGGCCCACCTCTCCCGGCCCTGCTCACCTGCGCCGCCCAGCCCACCTCTCCCGGCCCTGCTCATCTGCGCCGCCCGGCCCACCTCTCCCGGTCCTGCTCACCTGCGCCGCCCGGCCCACCTCTCCCGGCCCTGCTCACCTGCGCCGCCCAGCCCACCTCTCCCGCCCTGCTCACCTGCGCCGCCCAGCCCACCTCTCCCGGCCCTGCTCACCTGCGCCGCCCAGCCACCTCTCCCGGCCCTGCTCACCTGCGCCGCCCGGCCCACCTCTCCCGGCCCTGCTCACCTGCGCCGCCCAGCCCACCTCTCCCGGCCCTGCTCACCTGCGCCGCCCAGCCCACCTCTCCCGGCCCTGCTCACCTGCGCCGCCCGGCCCACCTCTCCCGGCCCTGCTCACCTGCGCCGCCCGGCCCACCTCTCCCGGCCCTGCTCACCTGCGCCGCCCGGCCCACCTCTCCCGGCCCTGCTCACCTGCGCCGCCGGCCCACCTCTCCCGGCCCTGCTCACCTCACCTGCTCACCTGCGCCGCCGCCCACCTCTCCCGGCCCTGCTCCACCTGCGCCGCTCCCGTGTCGAGTCCCGCCGCGCCGCCGGCGGCCGGCCCGGACTGCGCCGGCGCGGCCGCCGGCGCCGGCGGCGGGTTGCGCGCCGGCAGCGGCGGCGGCGCCGGCGCCGGACTGGCCGCGGCCGGCGACGCGCGCCCGGCCGGCCCGCTCGGCAGCGTGGAGTACGGCGGCGAGACGGCCGAAGGGTCGGCGAAGCGTCCTGCGGGTGGCGGCGAGACGGCGTCAGGCCGGGCGGGGCACGCGTCCACACAGCAGCCACGGCGGTCGAGGCGAGACCGGGCGCGGTCCGCCGTCGCCGAGACCCGAGCCTGTCCCACACACACGCCCGTTTACACACCGTCGTCACCTTGGAAGGCGAGAATCGCACAGCATTCCCGCAAACACCAGCAGCGCAACAAGCACCCTCCCACCGCACGCGAGCACCGTCCGTCTTCCGCACTCGGTCACAAAAAAACACAAACAAACCACCTGAGAGCGACCATCAGACCGCGAGCGCGTGCGCGACTGCCGAGCGCGCGCGTGCCACGCCCGTCCGAGCGCCGCACCGGGGCCGGCGGCCGTGTGACCCACCTGCGCGGCCGGGTCCTCGATCACGCGCGAGTGCCGGGCGGAGGTGAGGCGCGGGTCGGCGAACTGGGTCGTCCTGTGGGAACGGCCGCACACTCAGCAGGGAGGCGCGGCGGTCGGCGACGGCTGACGCGCCACCACCGCCGGCCGCCGGTGGTGGCGCGCCAGCCGCGACAGGCCGCGCTGCTCGGTGAGTTGGCGACGCGCGTGGTAATGCCTGAAGCCGTTGGCGCCAACGTCATGGCGCCAACGGTGGGGCGCGAGGTCTGGCGCCGGTGAGAATCTCGCCCATATGATTCGATCTGGACTCGCTCAGCGCCGCCACGTGAAAGCGTTTGACCGGTTTTTCCGTGCCATTGGCAACACGAGGTCACCATGCGTTGACCAGGAAAGCCTGCTGTGAAATGGTAGACACGCACGGTCGGACGCAGGCGGGACGGGCGCGAACATCGGTCCGCAATATCCAGTGAAGCAGCGGAGCAATGTAGCGGGAAAAAGCTCGTCCCAGAAAAGATTCTTCAGTTCTCTGCACGCGAGCACCGCAGGAGCTGGTTGTGGTTAGCCACGAATCTCACTGAGCGAGCACCCTAGTCATCGTAACATGCGCACCGCCCCAGCCACACACCAGTGGTCGGCCCCGCTCGCCGCAACGCGTAAGCAGTCGTTAGGTGCGGCCCGGGCACTGTCGGTATCGTGCGCAACCCATGGGAAAAACATCAGCCTATCTGTGCAACCACCGCCCACTGCACGCACCGCAGTCACCACGCTTCACAACATCTAGCTTCCCACATGGGGAGCCACACTCGACCACCTCGTCGACTTTGCCAGCGAACAGACGGCCGGCGAACGCGACGACTTCCCCCGCACGTGGCCAGCCCCCGCTCCACCACCGGCGCCCACCTGCTGACGTGATCGTGATCGTGATCCACCCACCTGTTGATGTGATCGTGATCGTGATCCACCCACCTGTTGACGTGATCGTGATCCGCTCACCTGTTGACGTGATCGTGATCCGCTCACCTGTTGACGTGATCGTGATCTGCTCACCCGTTGACGTGATCATGATCGTGATCCACCCATCCGTTGACGTGATCGTGATCGTGATCCACCCACCTGTTGACGTGATCGTGATCCACCCACCTGTCGACGTGATCATGATCGTGATCCATCCATCTGTTGATATGATCGTGATCCACCCACCTGTTGACGTGATCGTGATCCACCCACCTGTTGACGTGATCATGATCGTGATCCACCCACCTGTTGACGTGATCGTGATCGTGATCCACCCACCTGTTGACGTGATCATGATCGTGATCCAGCCACCTGTTGACGTGATCATGATCGTGATCCACCCACCTGTTGACGTGATCGTGATCGTGGTCCACCCACCTGTTGTGATCGTTATCGTGATCCACCCACCTGTTGACGTGATCGTGATCGTGATCCACCCACCTGTTGACGTGATCGTGATTGTGATCCACCCACCTGTTGACGTGATCATGATCGTGATCCACCCACCCGTTGTGATCGTTATCGTGATCCACCCACCTGTTGACGTGATCGTGATCGTGGTCCACCCACCTGTTGACGTGATCGACGAAGTAGACGCGGCCGGAGTCGGTAAGCCGCATCTCCCAGCCGGCCGGCAGCGGGCTGGGCTCGGCCGGCGGCGGCTGGGCGTCGCGCGGCAGGCGCGGGTCGTGCCACGTGGCGCGGCCCGACGGCACGTGCCAGTAGTACACCTGGCCGCGTGACGTGGTGCGTATCTCGTACCTGCCGCCAGCGGCCAGCCGGCCGGCCGTCAGGTGGGTGGGCGTGGGCGGGGGCAGCGCTGACGGAGGTGCAGCGGCGGCGGGCGCGTATCTCGGCACTGGCGCGAGGTCAGACGCTGAGACAGCGTGAGTCATTGCGGTGGGGAGATCGCAATGAAATGGTCAAACCTCGGGCGATATTCTGACTATTTCATCGAGCACGTGACTGTTATGCGCACTCACGCGACCAGCTGTAGCGTGAGATGCGTGAGCACTGTAGGCTGTGAGCAACGAAGTCGTGACCTTGCAGCCATCAGTTCCACACTTTACCTCCGAGGTACGAAACCGTATCACTTCAATCTCCGTCGCCCCAGCGCACGCAGACATCGCCCGACAAAACCACCGGCCTCCTCCCCACCCCTGGCCATATATGCTCACCATCCTTCTTCCCATTTCCAGGCGACACCCGGAGAATGGAAAGAGGAGAAGCACTGGCCTCACTCCCTTCGCGCGTGCCCTGCCTCGCCGCCGCCGGCGCCCCGGGCGGCCGCGCCGCTCCTCACCCGTCGGGTAGGTCGTCGGGCTGGTGCAGCTGGTTGCGGCTCAGGTAGAGCTGGTGGCGACGGCGCTGCGAGCGCCGCTCTCCGCCGGGCCGACGCGGCGGGCACTCGCCCTCTCCCTCCAGCGGGCCGGCCGGCTCGGCGTCCTCGCCGCCACCGTCACCGCCGCCGCCGCCGCCGCCGGCAGCGGGCGCCGGCAGCAGCGCCGCGTCCAGCGCCGGCCGCTCGGGCCGCTCCCACTGCGTGCTGCGCGTCACGTGGTTGACGTAGTAGAGCCGGCCGTTGGGGGCGCAGCGCTCCTCCCAGCCCTCGGCCAGCTCGTCCTGCGAGGGGGGAGGAGGGAGGCGCCGGTGAGGCCGCGGCCGGCATAGGCGCCCGGCCGTGCTGTCCCAGAACGACAGCCACGCGGTGGGAGCGGTCGGCTGTTTATCCCACGGGAGCGGCCGGACTTAACACGCCAGGGCGATCAACGGAGCAGCATACGCCAGAGCGGTCCCCGAACAACAACTCACAAAGAAGGCATCCGACACCAACACAAGGTCACTTTAAGTGGGAACACTTACAACCACCAGTCAGACATGAGCTCTGTAGCAAGTGCACCTTGCAACTGCAACGCTTCACAACCAACCCAGTCTACGCAACGCGCAAACGTGGAACAAGGCGACCCACCCGATAAATTTGCAATTTCAAACAAAAGGAACATGTCAAACAAAAGGAGCCAGAAACAAAAGGCACGGCACAGGTCAGGAACGTAAAAACAAGCCCCCGGTTCGGATAAAGAGCAAAGAACCCTCCCCGACCAGGTGCTATCTCCAGGCGGCGGCGGAGGCGCCAGGCCGGCCCCGCTCATCGTCGCGCCGCGCCCCACCTGCACGGAGAGGGCGCTGATCATGCCCTGCGTGTTGACCACCACGTTGTGACTGCTGCCGTTGCCGCCGTGGCCATCGCGGGAGAGCAGCGACAGGATGATCTTGCCGCGCACGAACTCGGCGTCCATCGCGCTCGACTTGCACAGGTCCAGCTGCTGGTCTGTGGGTCACGGCAGAAGTCAGAAGTCCAGCTGGTAGTCTGTGGGACACGGCAAAGGTCAAAAGTCCAGTTGGTGGTCTGAAGGACACGGCGGAGGTCAAGAGTCCAGCTGGTGGTCTGAGGGACACGGCAGACATCAGGAGTCTAGCTGTTGGTCACACAGCGCAGCGCATACTTCACACGCCCCCGCACCGGCCACGCAAGCACCCGCCCACACCAGCCCGCCGCCAGGACTGTGGACCCAGGGAGGATGGGCCTCCGCCGCCCGCATCGCGCGCCACGTCGGGAAAACCACGCCGGGCGCCCGCAGCGGGCGTGGCTGAGCGGCGGCGCTCGCAAGCGGCTGTGCAGGCGTGCGCGCGCGACGCCGCCGGCGGGCCGGCCGCCGGCGATGACGTACTCACCCGCCCGCGGCCGTCGCCCCCGTCGGATCGGCATCACACGTGCTGGCGGTTACACCGGGACCGCCCGGCGCCCGGCACCGCTCAGCGCGAGCGAGCGCGTGACGGCCGTCTCCCCGCGGCTAATGCTGGATATTAAAACAGCCACACGGCGCCGGATAATGTTCGGGACGGCGCCGGCGTCGCGTCCGGCGCCACGCGAGCAACACAGGCCGAACACACCGCCGGTGAATGGCGGACGCCACGGAGCGAAACTCGCGGGAGACCACACCGGAGCGCCGCGTCGCACAGCATCGCCCCCGTCCAAGGCACAGGCACAGCGCCGCCGCTGCCGCCCCTGCCGCTGGGAGACTGCGCATGCACGACCAGCTCAAGCGCGGTAGAAAGTTATGACAGCGAAAGAGGCCGAGCGGCAAAACCCAGCTCAAAATCGCTTTTAACCCTCTCTGAACCGGCTTCTTGGAAGCTGGTGTCGGCCCAGGTGGGAGCTAAGCTGGTTAAGCCGGTCAAGTCCGTAAGCAGGCCGCGCGCAGGGGTCAGTGATAGCGTCAGTGCTATTTCGGCGCCACCGCCGTCAGTAGTGCCGGTACCGCACAATCTATGGGGTGTCAGTCAGCACAGCGAGCTCTGCTTGATCGTCTGCGCGGCGCCGTTGCCTGGGGTCTCAGCACAGCGCGCGGCGGATCCAGCCGGGCGGCAGCGCCGGCCATCGCGTCAGAACGAGTCCGCGGTAAGGACGGAGCTCGAGCGCCGGCAACGATCGGTGTCCACAGCGTCGGTCGCTGGAGCGTCAGCGTGCGGTGCGCGCTGGCCCCGCCCTACTACGCCATATCCTACCGCCCCCGTGTCGTGGACACGCAGGGCCAGCCGGCTCATCCCGGGCCGGCGCCGCGTAGCGACGATCGACAGCCGCGTTGCAGGGGTCGCGCGGGCGAGACCTCAGGCGCGTCAGCACGTGTCATTGGCATTTGGCCGGAGGAGTGGAGCCCGCGCCAGCCGCAGCTCCCGTCTGCGCCCGGCCGGGGCAGGCGGCCTCGCAGCGGTCGCTAACGAGCCACCGCGATGCCCGCTCCCTGGCACAGCGTAGCCTCTAACGTAGCCGACACCTGATGTCACCCGCAGACAACCTAACCCGAAGTCAGCGTAACGGAATTTAAGAAAACCGAGTGTGCATTGAGAGTGAGTGTTTCGGAGATATTTGACAGCCAGGCCGCTGGCCTAGTGATATTGGCCTAATGCATGACAAAAAGCGTGCCTGGCCCATACAATGCATGCCATAAGTAGCTCATTTTGATTGCACGCTGCGTAATGAACGTCTCCTCAAATCTGTGAGCAGCAATCTTTCACTTTACGCATGGCAGCCAACCTATCAGTTCGAACGGTCAGACGACCTTGCCACAAAGCTGGCGACCAGGTTTTGTAGCTCCTCACAGCCTCCGGCGCTTATCTGATATCTCAGAAGCAATCGCATGGGCCTCCGTTAAGGTCAATTTGCGTCTACAGCTAGCTGTCATCCACTCGGTGCGGATGACACACCACCGTGGATCCTACCGCCGTGGACAATCCAAAAAGTTCGACTCTCTCAGGCGTCGTCTCGACCCGACCCGTCGCGACCACTTATCGGAGGCGCCCCAATTAACGGCAAAGTTCATCTTTAAGGACGGGAATAGCTGGATCACACGTTAACCTGTAGGAACTCGGAGAAGAAGCACGATGTGCACCCTGACCCGTCCTCGCTACAGAGCCGGTGCCCGTGCGTCGCTTGTGCGTGACCTGGCCTTGGCCCCGCGCAAGCGTCACTTCTCGTCCCGCTCTAAGGGAAGACGAAGGTCATGTGTGTAACCTTGGCTTCACCTCCCGCAGCTTGCTATCTGACGATGGAGTCCAACTGCGCTGTCGCCTCGCATATGTGTGAATTCCATTGTCTGCACACGGATACTAGCCCAGCACGGAGAGAAAGTGGTCACGCGCATTTTGTCGTCCGTTTAACAGCTTCAGCTAGCTCATTCCCACAGATCCCGAAGTGGCTGGAAATCCAACAATGCATGACCCTTTTAATGATCCTTTCAACTAACCCAACATTTACCCTAACCCAACGTCCGACCAAACCCCCATTTCGATCTAATAGCGCCATAATCTAGACACTAGCCGCGGCCCTCCGGCAGGAGCGGGCTGGACGCGACGTACATCCTGTGTCCTTGAGCTGCTGGATGACGTTGGAGCGGATGCGGACGCAGCCCAGGAAGCCGCCGCCCTGCCGCTTGTGCACCTTGCGGTTGTTCCACACCGAGATGACAATGGTGTCATTCTTGCCGATGTACCTGGAACGGAAGGACACTGTTAGAAACGTCAACAGGAGAAGGGAAACTGCGGAACGGCCGTAGCATCACGACTGTCTGAAGCCCAGGCCGCAGCAGCAGGCCCAGGAACCCGGGTATCCTGCCCCTCCACTCAGTACGGAGCCCGGCCACGCCAGCCGTTCGGAAGTGTTCACCGTGCTTCCAGCTCCTGCCGCCGCCTCCGTGATCGGTGGAGCGACCCTGGACTCATCGTCCATCGGCGCGAGCCACGAGTCCCTGTATTAGTCAGTGTGCGGCCAGAGCGACATGGGGATGTCCACTGGTTAGTGGTCGGAGAGCGCCACGCACCACTCCACCCCCGGGGCGGCCGCGCTGCAGCATTGCACGGCACGTCCAGCACGCCGCAGCCCTACCATACAAAAATGCCGCCCGCAAAATCATTCGGCGAAATGAAACCGGTTGGCGGTTAATGGAACACGGAGCATGTCCTGCTTGGCAAAGGGTCTGAGCCCGAGACTACCCACGCGTGCAGTTACTAGCCCCGAGCTCGGCGTGCCGACCAGCCGCACCCGCTCTGCGTCCCGTCCGCAGCAACATCGGCGCGAGCTGCGTCGGCCCCGGCCGCTCGTCCCCGGGCCAGGCCGACGCAGCCGCCGCGACCGCCCAGAGCCGGTCACTGGTCCCGGCCGGCACGCGGTCCGTGTCACCACGAGCTCCTAATGCGCGAAACGGATCTCCTGACGATAACCGGTCGCTATAAATTCCCTGTCACGTGTGTGGTGGTCGGCAGCGTCTTGACGTCCTGCCGATAGCATTCGCCTCTGCCACTTCCGGCTCGAAATCGACGGGGTGAACAACCGGGCTATCAGCATACCCTGTGTAATTGCCGGAGGCTTGTACACAGAAGCCGACAATTAGACCGGCTTGAATCACCGACAATCAAAGAGAAAGCTCGAAATAATGAGGAAGACGGGGACATGGGCCCCGACGCGGCGGCCGCGGGAAGGCAGCCCACGAGCCAAGCAAACCACCGTTCAAGCGGCGGGTGACGGGCTGAGCGCTCAAAGCTACTCAAAGCTACAAAACTCCTCGCACTCATGCCGATAACCGAAGACACCACGACAACCTCCTGCTACACGCTACATCCTACCCACTACACTACGGGTAGAGTGTAGCGCAGGGCACCAACGAAGGTGGGGGTGGGACACTGCCGGCGACACGTCACGAACCCTGCGGCGTCTCCATCACCAGACGATGCGTTGGCCCGCCCCCGAAGCGGCCCGGGCGCAGCCTGAGCAGCCCTCCCGGTCAGAGTTCGGTCACGCAGCCGAGGCGGCTCGCCGGCGCCGCCGCGGCCCCACCACGTGCCGGCGCTTCCGGTGCGGGCGGCCCCAGCTGTCCGCACGAGCATTCCGGCGAAGCCGCCGGCTGCCCGGCCGTTCCTCTCCCCCCCCCCCCCCGCGCCCCTCTCCACAGGCGACTATGAGCATGCCCACACTGGCACAAGGCGTCACCCGCAGGCGGGACACCGCGCGCACCTACCGTGACGTGACGCGACGCTGGTAAAACGGCTGGCGGTGCTTCCCGGCGCCGAGCGGGCCGGGTTAAAATGGCCAACGTACTTACGGTGCTCAATGGTGGGAACAGCCGGCGCCTCCGCTACGCCCACGCACGGGACGGAGGACACGGATGGGGATGGAGATGGGGATGGGGATGGGGATGGGGATGGGGAAGGGGAAGGGGATGGGGACGGGGATAGGGATGGGGATGGGGATGGGGATAGGGACGGGGACGGGGACGGGGACGGGGACGGGGACGGGGACGGGGACGGGGACGGGGACGGGGACGGGGACGGGGACGGGGACGGGGGGGCGGGGACGGGGGAACGGGGGACGGAGACGAGCCGCCGCGGACCTATCTGAGAGCGCGCCCGACGGGGATGATGACGTCACACGAAGGGACATGGCGACGGGGGTGGTGGAGGAAGGGGGGGGGGGTATGGAAACGGCCGGCCGCCATAAACAGCGCGACAGACAGCGGAGCGAGCTAACGTCAGAGCCGCGATGTGACGAGGCCTTGTCTGCCCCGATCGGCCAGGCGCATCGATAGCGCCGTCTACACGGGGCGCAAGGTCGACCTGGCTGGATACGGTCGAGTATTCGGCGTGGCGCCACACGCGAACAAAATGCTGGCAGCGCGCTGACGGACTACCGTTCAGCGCATAAAAGCGGCTCAGATTATGGGTGCTGCGTCCGGGCGGAGCAGACGATGGGCGCGCGCGATACACGGCCACACAAAATGCTGAAGACCTGAACCGACGACAGGGCGCTGCCGCGGTGCCCCGACAGGACGCCGTCCTCAGCCTGAGATCGCCGACGCATCCCGGGTTAGACGGTCTCAGATCCAGTCCACGGCGGCAGGTGATTCCCCGCTCTGGGCGACAGCTCACAAGACGAGCATCGCCGCGATGGCCCGGCTCCACGCCCCACCCGCTCAAACCCACCGCGTCGACGCCGGTGAGCCCCGCCCCACCGGTAACACCCACACCGTCCGCCACCGCCGCCGAGCGTCTGCGCTTGATGGCGCGTCACCGGCCGCCGTGGCGTGAGACCGGCTCCGCCGCCCGTCCCGGACGCTCGCGGCGCGTCGGCGATCTACACAAGTGACCGACGGCGGGCCGGGACCAGGGTCACGCCCCGCAGCGAACGCCCCCGGCTCAGCCGCTGGCGGCCGTCAACGGCAGGGGGTCAGCGGCGGTCAGCCGATCGTCAGCCGCCGCTGATATCGTCCCCTACCCCCCCCCCCCCCCCCTTTATTCGTCTCGTCGGGCGCGCATTCCACGTCGTATCAACCGTCGGCCAGCGGCGTCGCCAGCGAGGGCGGCGCGAGCACGCGGTCACGGGCGTCACCAGCCAGGGGGGGGGGGGGGGCGGCGGCATCCATCGCCCGTTCCAGGGGCCGTTCACGCGCGCCTCCCGCAGCCGCCGCCGCGGTACAGGTCATGACGAGCCGGCTTCAGGAGCCGCACGGCGCACACAAGGAGGGACGGCGCGCGCCCACGTCAACAAGTCCCAGCGAGCCACCGGCCAGCCGTCCACACAGGCCAGCACGGTCCGGCGGGCGTCATGCATGCCTGCCACCAGTTTGCATCGCCCGTCGGGCCGACGCAGGCAGCGATCTGCAAGTGCAGCCACCTACGGCGCTTTGCAGCGTTCTGAGAATAACGGTGCGCCGCCGGCTCGCGCTGAGAACAAGAACAGTAACCGCCGGCGCGCGCTGAGAACAAGAACAGTAACCGCCGCGCCCGGCGGCGGCGAGGCCATCTATACAGGCCCCCGGACGCGGCCAAGTTCTGGAGTCGGGCGTACCACGTCCGGTGGTCTACCGGCTGCATGCCGCGGCCTTCGCCTACAACCCGTGTCTTTCGCTGCCCTCGACCCGCCGCACACGGCTGCGGCGGTGCGACAAGGGCGTCACCCTGGCGGCCTAATCCGGGCAGCGCACGACACTGCGTAGGAGTATGCTGTACGCCGCGCAGGAGGCACCTCGGCTCAGGTCACGTTAAGACCGCTCATATGATTCGTCCGTGACGGTCGGCTGGTAGCTGGCCGGGAGGGTCAGGCTGGCTCGGAGCAGCCGCGTCATGAGAGTTCGTTGTACGTTAATTTCTCGGCCGTAACCGTACATTGGACCGGAATTGCTTCAGCGGGGTCGTGGGCTTGGGGCCTTGGGAACAAAGCATGCCAACCTAACACGGAGCCCACTCCTGAGACTGCCCAGCAAATACTTGGCAAAACAATATGCATATACATATATATACATACACACATATACATATATATATATATATATATATATATATATATATATATATATACGTGTGTGTGTGTGTGTGTGTGTGTGTGTGTGTGTGTGTGTGTGTGTGTGTGTGTGTGTGTGTGTGTGTGTGTGTGTGTGTGTGTGTGTGTGTGTGTGTGTGTGTGTGTGTGTGTGTGTGTGTGTGTGTGTGTGTGTGTGTGTGTGTGTGTGTGTGTCGAACACACCAAACTGCCACGCACAGCATCGTTACGGTTAGGGAATCAGCAACAACCAAAGGTCTTTCAAGCGCTGAAGCTTCAACCAGGTTGCCATCACCCTCAAACGAACCCCCCCCCCCGCAACGACACCAGGGCGATCATCATGACCCGGCCGCGGCCCAACGGGCCCATGCGAGCGACGCAGGCGCCCAGCGGCACGGCAGTGTCACCACCGCATAGAGCCTGTCCTCTCCTGCGGCGGCTCGTCTGACTCGCTCGGGCCGAACCGGCGCTTCGCCACCGCCGCGCCGGCACCGAGCTCGGTCCGAGTGCCGCGGATGCCCCCGGGCGGCTCGTCCCGCGCCGCCTGCCGTCGCGTCAGGGGAGATGGGCAGCCGCCAGCCCGGCGGGCGGCTCGCTGCCGGCCGGCCAGCCGGCGCCGGCGCCGGCGGTGGGGGCGGCCCCGACCGCAGCCCAGACGGGCGGCGCCGGCCGGGTCAGAGCGACGCCCGTCGCCGCTTCAGGGGGCGCGGTGCCGGTCAGGCGGCCGCCTCCCGCCGCTCCGTTTCCGGCGCTGGACGCCGCAGCAGGGAGAGCGCCCGACGCGCACGAGCACGAGTCCCTAGGACCGGCACATGTTTCTCCGGCGATGTCACGATAATCGCCGCTCGGGGATGTGGCGTCGCTGCCCGCGTCAAGCATGAGCAGTATTCCGTATTAGCATTCAGAATTTGGCTACTTGGGTGGCAGTTACGTCGTATTTGTATTCGGCCACTTGGGTGGTAAGGATGCCGATATTTGTGCTATGCCATTTCACCTCCTGTTTGGGAATCACTGCTTCCTGCCCCCCTCCCGCTACAATCGGCCAGTCAGCATCGAACCGGGCGGCAGACTTGACAAATGGGCGGGGCAGATCAGATGTCTGGGTTCGGGGTCAAAGGGCAACGGATTGGCGCCAACCAATTGCGTGCGGAGGCCGCGGGAGACACGCGCTTCTGGTGGCACGATTTCATATCTACATCCCGCACACCCTACCGGGATTAATTTTGAGACGTTTCTGATTAATTTTGAAACGTGCGCATTGACGTATTGTACGGCAGGCAAAGACAACCGCAAACAAAATAACTACACTTGGCACTTAACCTTCTCAGCTTGTCGCACGCGACATTGGGCCAAGGTCTCATCAGCAGCGGAAGCGCACTTCCACCATGGGACATCGGGGGGGGGGGGGGGGGGGGAGGCGCCTGCTGCCGACAAAACGATGTCACGTGCTGAGTCATTGTGCGGCGTCGCGCCGACAAACGCCTCGGTGGCCGCGGAGGCAGCCAAACGCCCTCGGCGCCGTCCGATAACGGCGCGCCCCGGCCCGGCCCGCACGGCGAGCCGCTTCAGCCGGCTACCGCTGCCCACTGGGATAAGCCAAGGGCGCTGATGCAATCCAGCCAGAGCACGGGCCGGCGCCGCCAGAGATGACCGGAGGCCCGTCTCTGGCGGCCGGGCGGCGCGCTGACACGGAAGGGGCTCCCGCCGCCGCCACCTCCGGGCTCCCGGGTCGGAGGGACGCTGATTTGCCGCCAACCCAGCTACGCGCTGACAGCTGGACACACACACACAGGCGCGCGGGGATGCGGGGTGGCTGCGGGGACCGAGGGGACCAGTGCCATCCCGTGCCGTGCATTGCCAGTGCCCACACCGGCCGCTTTGGAGCGCGGGTGACGACCCCAAGCATCTGGGCAGCTGGGCCGAGGGCCAGTAAATTGCTATGAATCTGACGGTTCAAAACTAAGCGACTGCCCAAGCGCAACAGCGCGGTGTCCCCGACAATGGGGACGGACAAAGCGGACATGTCACGGCCGAGTGCGAAAGCCGTGGTCTCCGATCGTACCCCATCGTCTATCGCGGCCGTTTCCAGTGGCCACTGATACAGATTTGGCAACCATCACCTTCTGACTGAGAACACATCCACTGAGGAGTCCGCAGCATGTTCGGCGATCACGGTACGAAATGCATCGATCAAGGGGCTTGAGCATCCACCGAGCAGCGCTTGACGAAGCCTGGAGGCCACATGAACAAGAGCATGGACGGGCCTCCATCGACATTCCCGCAGCAGCAGGATGCCACACAGCGAACCTCACCCCTGCCCCACGTCCACCTCCCCGAGCAGAGCGACGACAGTTGCCCCAGCCGCGCCCGGCAGAGCAAAGCACACTCACAGGTCGAAGTGCTTGTTCCACTTGGGGCTGAGGGTGGCGTGGCACGGCTCCGTGCAGTGGCACTGGCCCGAGCCATCGACGCTGATCTTGGCGAATGGGTCCGGCAGCCCTGCCGAGCACGAGGCGCGTGCCGTCAGCACACGCGTGGCCGCGTGGCGGCGCCGTTGGCGTTCGCTGATTGGCTGATGCTGATGCTGATGCTGATGCTGATGATAATGATGGCAATTTGGTTTCAACGCACACCTGCTGTTCTGGTTATATGGTGCTTACTGGTTGCCTCCCAAGAGAGCTGCACAAATGTGGATGACTTTGTGTATGGTTAGAGAAGAACTTTGTTGCTTAGCATGTGACAAGGGAACCCATGCAAATGGGGTTTAAAACTATGACATTCTCAAATGGAGATCTTTTAATCAGATGCAAAATGGTGTTCACCCCATGACTTTGGCATAGGACATGTGTCTGGCACATCCTGAGTGCCACATCAAGAGAGAACATATACAGCAGTGGTACCAGTGCCAAAAAGATAGGAGCAAAACAAGGATACACATAAGGTTTCACACCAGAACATGCATACTTACTAAAGAAGTCCTTCCGTGACAGATCCTTGGCACACAGGACTGGAACACAGGTTTACAGTTACATGACATGGGTGATAGACAGAAGGCAGCACTTCTGGCCTTGTCCCAACTTAACCATACTTGCTTACCAATCAGATATTTCCAGTGTAATAGTTGGCATGTCCTAATGCATACACATATGTCACAAATCTTGATAATATGTCAAGCATGTGGCAAAGTGCCAGGAGGAAACAATCACATCAGGTATAATAAAAACAGATAATATAGCCCTGTTCAATGCTTCCTATGAGTCTTTAGCTTAAGACCACTGTGCATTCAATTATGCAGCAACTATCTCTCACTTGTCAGTCGAATCTTGGAGGTGCCATTCCTCCTGTGCCCACTAGGGGGAGACATTCTTCCCAACAGTTAGTGCCGCACAGATGGGCATCTCACTGATGATACCCTGTAACCACCCCTGCAAGCAAAACACTGCAGTGTCACAGACAGATATCACACAGGCATGACCTTCCATTCAACATGTGCTGATAAGTCAAATTGACAGCTGTGGTACTACTGCTCATATAATACCAAGTTATGTTTTATGGCCTGGCATTGGAGATCATGCTGGTGACATTGGAATAGGACCAGACCATTACCCTGCTATCAAACTGCCTTAGGTATCTCAATTACAGTGTTTTAATTGTACATGCTATCTGACTGTAATGTAATAGCTTATCAGGATAAGCCATAACCTAACCTGACACCTAAGCCATGTGACTTAACACCTGATACACAATACTGGTCACATCTATGTTGAAATCTCCAATCACTTATCATCAAAATAAAATGCCCCACCTTGTCTACCTGATCACAGTTTTCCCAAATTCATCATCCACAAACAAGGCACAAACAACTTGAATTTTGACTGCTGGTTCACCTCAACAGTGATGGTAAGATATACTTGCATGTAAATATTCAGTGCAAACTTGAACTCACATCTCATTTAATTGCATTTAGTTTAAGTCTGGGACACATTGGTGGAATTTGGTACATAGTTATGGATAATTTTAAATAGAAAATGTACCTATTTGACTGCTTGGCATCAAAATAGCTCACACTAACATCTGGAGGCAACACAAGATGCTACTGACAACCAGAAATGAGCTCAAAACTTCCTGTACACCCCCACTGACAAACACTGTGACAACTTTACTCTTCACTGCTAATGCCCTGAAAATCATCAAACCTAAATGTTTAATAGCTAAGGCATATATTCCTTTGACCTGAAATGAAAATGAGTGCCTATCCCCAAAACTTGTGCTTATTTTCCATTCAAGTTGTGTTCTGATTGATCATCAGTGTAACCCAAAAACCTGACATGTGCCCCACATCCAGAACGCATAACCAACTCCAAGCTCATGCAGTTCCCAGTTAATTCTGCACGACAGCCTTACCCAGCAAAAGTTTACGCTGTTTAAGTTCACGCATTACACACTAACATGACAGGGGACGATTACTTGCAATGATCAGTTAACCGCATTTCGCGCTCGGGCCTACCACTCATCCACAGTTACGTGCACCCAAAATTAAAATGTATTCATTCTTTCCGTAATATGCCTAAAATGTTCACTATTTGCCATCGCACACTCAAATAATAATGTTTTGTTAACCTGTCGCACCCAAACCTGCCCCACTTTTGGCCGTATCCCAGCGGAGGCTCATGTGGCGCATCTGAGCTGAAAGAGTCAAGCATTTGATAGTGATACAGACACAAAAATGTGGACTTGCACCGAGCCCTGTATGTTTCTTACTAGTTTTGTGTAGTTTCGGAATAAATCATCGGAAATTGATGTTCCGTATTTTTCTTATGATTAGTTGCACTAAATCATCCTAAATAGTAGAAGTCTACCTTAAATTTTTAGCTGGTTTCTTTGACAATCCCAGTCGAATACTCGCACCATAAATCGACAACTTACTCTGCTCTATATAATTATTTTTCGGCGCATAGTAAGCAGTCAGAAAACTATAATAAGTGTTACAGACGGTGAAAAAAGCATAAATCAGGAAAATACTAATAAAAGGCATCAGCTTAACTAAGAAACCATCCCAACATCTAACAACTTTTAAACATAAATGAAAGACTTGTGAACTGAGACATAAACAAAAGAGACTTGACACAGGTGCGCCGTAATGACTGGTGTGAGGCGAGGCGTATCGCCCAATGCAAAGAAAGTGCGTGTATCGCATAGGGAGATACGAACGTTCACAGAGGATTGACACCGTCAAAGACAGCGTGGAAGTGTTTATATTGCCTTCACTTTGAAGAAGAGAGGCCGACAGGCCACCAGGTAGAGAAAAAAAAGGGCGAAAAGCTTTTCCTCCCGCAATTTGTGATTTGTGTGCGTGTTCCCGCCCCTGTCTTGTCCCACGATAAACATCGCAGTGATGTTTCATAGCTTACATGGACATTCAACATCTTTTGCAATTACAGTTTCATTCATGGTCCTGTTTCTTTGCTTGCATGCAGCTTAACCCCAATATCTACTTCAAATGTATCTGCCCATGTCTATGGAGGTTTTATGACATGCTGTGATTAAAATAAAGTGACAAATAGAGTTAATGAACACAAATTTAACTATAATCTGCAGGATATGTGACATGACCAAACCGAATAAAATGCCTATGTTGGGAAAGCACCTAGTTGGAAGTAACATGAAGACTAATCAAACAAATCTTGAAATGGAAGTGAACATAACACATTCAAGGTCAGGGATGCCTGCACTTTATTTGGTGCAAACATACATGTGCATCTCCGCAAAAATCTTTGGCACAGGAGTATTATGAATATGACATATGCCTATGTCACAGTTAGTAGGGACTGAGATGCAATGCTAGACTCTAGTATCTAACTGCATTGAAAGGAAGGAGCTGGCTTGCTGTGTAGACATTCACATACTGCTTCTGGTGTGATTGAGTGAGGCCAGCTATATTGCAGTAAGGTTTAGTAGCATCAGCATTGAGTTTTACATCCTCCTCATATGTGGCAGCAAGTCATTCATGAAGACAGGGAATGTCAGGATGCACAGCTTCTGCATGTTCATGCACTGTATTGCTGTGGGACTGAGATTGACTTGGGTCTGTTCATGAGCATTCCGCCCTCTCTGGATTATGCCACAAAGCTGGGAGACCATTTTCAAATCAGAGTTTTGTGGTTAGTCTGGACAGATTGTTCCATTCCTAAATTACTGGCGTTATGTTATGGTAAGAACTGGTGTTATGTTCCTAACTTGTGCTGTGAGACTTCATTTTTTCTTCAATATCCTGGCTCTCAGTTGGGTTGCCAGTAGTGTAGTGTTATTGTGTCTGCGTTAACTACCGCGCACCTGGGAAACCAGAGGTACAGGGTACAATTCACCGCAGTGCCCGCCCTTCCTGCCAGGGTGAGAGGCAGGCAACACCATATTGCCTCAGCAGCTGAGTGTGTCATAAAGCCCCAATGACACACACACTAGCTCTCAGTTGGTGTAGAATTTTGGTTCTCATGACTAGGCCTTTGTTGAGGTACCTGCAGCTTCCCTCCAGGCAACAGTTGTATATAGCCAACCAGTATGCCTCTCCAAAGTTAGCAGTAATTTTATATGACTTCTTCTTGTTCTTTGTAAGGCTGCTTGCTCCAGTTCCATTACTTAGTATTCACTGAATGAACCTAGGGTATTGTGCTCACCTTGCTCTGTGTTGCACATGTTGCACATGGCCAGAGCATAGATGGCAGGTACATACCACTCTTTGTCATTTATTAGGCAAAGGATTTATGGTCATGAGCCTAGTTAGTTAGTTGCCAGATTTTAAGGATGTGTGAACTGCAGTGGTTATACATGTACTGTGGTGGTCATGAGCCTGCTATGATTTCTCAGTGATAAACCCAGCTACACACATGTTCACCTTGTATATGCTGCATGATGGATCTGTTGTTATTGATCTGATCTTGATCTGTGCTATTGCCATTGATTGGTCTGATCTGAATTGATCATTAATCTGATCTGTTGCCTCACTATTTTCAGAGCCTCTAGCTGGATGGCTGACTCAGAGGGGGCTGAGGGCCCTGAAAGTCCAGTGCAGCCACCCTCCCCAACTGAAGAGATACAGGATGCCCCTGAGTCAGAACTGGAAACAAAGACCAACAGCAAAGGTAGCTGTGACCTTCACTTGTGCTCAGTAGTGATTTGTTTATTGACAGCATGTTGCAACTGTTGACCAGAACATGTTTGCACATGCCAATCCTTGCAAACTGGTTTTAAAATGCTATTGGGTGTGGGTGCTTCCCAACACCAGCGACTGATATCTCAATAAAACAGATCTCAGTTCATTTCATATCTTTGTAATCATACCCAGCTTGCAATGTTGTAGTAGTGTGCAGGGATTGCTATTGCTGGCTGTCATAAGGTGCAGGCATAGGGTTTGGGAACAGCATGGATGTGGTAATGTTGCTTGAGCCTGCCACTGACTGTGGCACAGTTGGCCTGCTGCTGAAGGCAGCTGGAGATGCACCCATCATGAAGCAGAAGTTCTGGATGGTTGATCCCAAGAAGCAGGTGACGTGGGTGGTGCAGTTCATCCGGCGCTACATCCGGATGGACCCGTCAGAGTCCCTGGTGAGTGCCATGGTTGCCTGGTGAGTGTCCTGATGGCCAGGTGTGCTCCATAATGTGCTCCAATGCCATGCCTTGGCACTTTAGGTCACCTTCTGCTGCCAACTGTTTGTCGATTTAGATGGTGAGATCTTCTGTTGTGTTCTTTTTTAGGTATGTTTTATGATGTCGATGAACAGTGTCGTGCAATTCGTTTGAAGCTTTTCCGGTCTATCTCTCGACCTTTACATCTTCCTTGTCTTGGAGACATAGCACCTTCTGTGTTGCCTCAACCACTTGCCATCAGCGGCCGCAACACCGCACCCTGCGCTCATGGCCGGAGCTTCTGGGTTCGAGGCACCTGCCGTCCGCTTTCTCGTTTCACCGCGTCAATTCGTGTGCAAGATGGCGTCGATCTCGCTCCGAGCACCGCTGCTCGCGTTGTTTTGTAAAACGTCCGACAGGCGGCGCCCGCCTCTTGCCTATCAATGACGTCACCGACTGCTGTCTCTTGTCCAGCAGCCACACGTTGCTCCTCTGACGTGCCCTCCCCCGATACTCCCCCCCCCCCCCCGTCTCTCCCTCCCAGTCCCCACCCCGGCAGTCAGTGACCCGGTGCGCGTACGTGCCGGCAGTTTGTGTACGTCAGCCAGGCGTTCTCGCCGTCACCCGACCAGACCATCGGTAACCTGCTGGAGAGCTTCGGCTCGGAGGGCAAGCTCGTGCTGCACTACTGCCGCACGCAGGCATGGGGCTGAACGGCGCGGCCGGCGCAGGCCCAGGCGGCGCGCGGCTCGCTCCGAGGACTCCGAGTCAGCGGAGAGGCCAGGGTCGGGCCGAGAGTCGTCGGCGCCTACCGTGGGAGCGACGGTGGCAGCGCCGGGGCACGTGCCCGCGGACTCTGAGCGGGTCTGTGGTACCGGCGATGGGCGGTGGCGGGGTGGCGCGTCATGCTGTCGTCGGGGTGTGACGCGCTGTGATGCTCCGTGACGCGGAGTGACACGGAGTGTTATGCTCCAGGGTGCGCCGGGCTGTTGGGGCCCGCTCGCTGCGGCTCTCCCGGCGTCATGCGGGTCCCGTCGTCTCCCAGCGTGCACGAGCTGTGCTCAGAGCCCTCCGCCTTGGCCCAGGAAGCACGGCGTCGGCCCGCGGCCGCCTCCAGTCGTGGCGCTTGCCAGCGATGGCGTGACGTCACGGAAGATGTGCAGCCAATCGCCGGCGTTCACCTGTTTTTGAGTTGGTTGTAAAGGGTCAGGTTGGACGGACAGTCGGTAGATGTCTTTTGCCCCGCTCGTGGCAGCGTCGAGGGAGCTGTGGGCCTACGATGCCGTGATGTTGAGTTGATTGGTGAGATGAGCGACGGTTTTATTCACTGTGATAATCTCAGTGCTCGTGTGCGTGGTTTGCGTGCTATGAAGGGCCAGAGGTTATGCTGATGTGTTTAGTGATTATCATTCGGGTGTCCCAGGTTTTTTTGTGTCTCCGTCTATGCTGATCCTTCACTCGTCGGTCGCTGTTGGGTCGTGAAATCGACTATTTCGGCCGGTTTAAACGCTCAAATACACCACCGACTTATGCATATGAGCCGATTCCACCTGGTAGTAGCGGAGGCGCGCGCCCCTGATAATCTGCAAAGGACACGAGTGGAGCTCTGGGTTAGCTCCGTTAGAGGTCTCCTCTGCTATGTTATCCCCCACCCGCCAACCCCCCCCCCCCGCACACCATCGCAAGCGCACTAAAGTGTCCATAAGCAGTAAAAACAGCATATGTCATGTTAGGTCTTGGGAAATAACTTGTCCCTGGGACCTCAATTGGCGCAACTGGGGACTGAGGAACTAGGCGCGCTGAGACTGAGCTGCGCCGGCAGTATCAGGTCGGAGGAGAGTATCCAGTGTTCGCTGACGTTTGCTGACTGTAGCGGGGGTTTAGGCCCACGTGCCGCTCTAGTGCACTCATCCCAACTGCGACTGTGACACAGCTGCTGCCGAGGGGCTGCGTTATTGTCTGTCAATGTGTTTTCAAGGGGTCGCCTGAAAGTGGTAACTTAAAAGGTTGAGCCCCCCCCCCCCCCCATCCCCCAACACCCGCGTATGAACCTTACCTATCAAGAACATTTTCACTTGCTGAATTGGTGCCTGAAGCTTAATGTTGGGTTCTCTCCAGGTCTGGATAAGTTAAGCGAATCGTGATGGCGCCAGCTCGCAGGTCGGTGGTATGCGTAGAAGGCGCAATCAAAGGTGTCTGTATAGCCCTAGGAGAGGTACGCGCACCTCTAGCTATGCCGTTAGTTGCATTATTATCAAAATGACAACACACGTTTCATTGCTCCATTAAAGGCTTCCTTTCCCGCGTCACCCACACCAAAAGGTGGGGTCGGATGTGCTGCAAAGCCTCCCGGCTATCCTTGTGACACTTCGTTAGGCCGCCATCTTGGATTGCTTCGATCTTCTGCCATCTACCCCATCCTGTGGTCATTCCCACTTCCGAACTCTTCTCAGCCCCACCGCACTCCGCCAGCAGCACTCAGCGCCCTCACCAACCTGCTGAGCATCTCGCCGCTTCCCCTTCAGTTGCCCGAGCAGTTTGTCGCGACGGCCGCGCGCGGCGCCACCGTCGTCGCTGGCCTCCGGCGTCGTCGGCGCGCCGTCAGAGGCTCATCACACGTCAGATCGGGCGCCAGAGCCGACGTTCTCCAGCAGCTGCACATAACCCCGCGTCGACGGCAGCGGGGGACAGAAAATCGATACCCCGGCCGGCGGCGCTCGGCCGCTGGCGGTCTGACATTTGGGGGCCAGATGTGGCCGCGGGGGCGGGGAGACACATGTGCGGACTGGGCGTCAGCGTGTTCGTTCAGTCGGCCGGCGGCTGGGCTGCTGCTGCCGGGGTCGGGAGCTGTTGACACCGAGCCGCTGCAGGCCAGTCAAAAGGCAGCGCAGTGCGGTTGGCGCGAAGACAATGCGAGGAATCGTAAATGTCAGGTTCAGAGAAAACGAAGCCCGCGGCACTGGTGTCCGTGCGGGTGCAGCAAAACGGGTGCCGATAGGGCGGTGGTTAACGCGTCTGCGTAAGGCGCTGCACGACTGAGAAAAGGCGGCGAGGGTTAGATTCCCCGCGGTGCCCGCCTTTCCTGCCGGAGTGAGGGACAGGCGACGACATAAAGCCTCATCAGCTGAGTGTGTCAAAAAGCCCCAACGACGACAAGGATGTAACAAAATGGTGCTATTCTAGTCCTCAGCTCCGCAATCAGAAACTTCACATTGGCCGCGTGGGTGCTGTCTTGACCCATCCCCACGTTTCCCACTAGCCATTCCTGGACCCCACAGACGACCGCTGAATCCGCCTCTGCACCTGGTTTGCCCGCTTTTCCCTTTGCGCGTGTTGGATGCGGTATTTTATGGCGGCCGTTTTTGGGCTAGGCTCAGGGCTCAGCGTCTGTGGTAGTCATCTTAGCGGAATGGAATGTCCCCAAAAATGGGAGGGTGACGAATGTTGGAGTTAATGTCTGTCTACGCCTCATCACACAGGGTTAGTCCCCGTATTTACGTCCAGAGGCCAGGGGCTTCCTCTTCCGGCATCTACCTCACGTGCCAACGCGTTTTTCGCCAAAAATGATGTCGCGAGCAGAAGAAAACGATATAAAATGGTGACAGCCGGGGGAGGGGCGGTCGCTGAATTGTAATCGGCCCCGCGAGAACGGCCACCAACATACTTAATGAGACCAGGGCCTTGGGAGAGGATCATGGGCGAAAGTTGGTGCTGGCCTTATGATCGTGTCCAAAACATGCAGTACAGGCCTGGTAGCGAGAGCATTAAGGACACGGGAACAGCCATGTCCATCTTTGGGTTAGTTTGACACGGTTTCCATGGCGTGGCGTGGTAAGAGCTGGACGCAGATTAACTCCTGCCCCCTCCCCCCCCCCGTCGCCCCCTCCGCCCAACTTTTGGAAGATTCCGCGGCATCTAAGCGCAGCTGCGCACTTTTCCTCAGCAGCGCGCTGAGCAATGACCATCGAATCGACGTTTTTAATCCTCTATTAACGCATCTGACGGGCAATCTATGGCGGCCGTACCGCGCCGGGCACCCACCAATCAGAGTTTGATTCCTTCGGAGGTTTCTTGATTCCTTTTCAGTCAACAGATTGCTTCAGCGCAATCCCTTCCGATTGAGGCCCGCTGGGTGCTCACTGATGCCGTCTCTGACCGACAATTAGCACACTGTTGGGTCGAATCCAGTTCCCACGTAAGGGTCCAGTTACGATGCGGAAGCGAGCACAGTGCAGTTGAATCCAACACCAACAGTTTATGAGATAGCCCGTTTGATTGGTATAAAGGTGATTTGATATAGACATGTCAAAGCACGCGGTTCCCATGGCGTCGCATAGCAAAGGCTGGATGAACGGTCGCCCCTGTCCCCCTCCCCTCTTCCCAACTTTTGAGAGATTCCCTAGTGTTCTTGTACTTACCCTTCGCGCAACTATTTTTGCAAAGTAAATTTTTCCGCCTGTTATAATCGATTGAAATGCTATGACACCAACTGCTATATATATATATATATATATATATATATATATATATATATATATATATCTCTCTCTCTCTCTCTCTCTCTCTCTCTCTCTCTCTCTCTCTCGTATACGTGGCAGCAGTAAATGTCCGGTCTTATGTCGTCATTTTGTAGTATGTCGGTTTCTACGTGCTCCATTTAGAGCTTAGCGAATAGAGATCCTAGAGGTGAACCCGTCGCAACACCCTCAGTTTGGCAATACATTCGTCGATCAGGACCGCGGAAAGGAACTTCCAAGGAACAGGCTTCTAGTACTTGTTTAAGAAGACGCTTTAATATTTTGAGAGGAGAAATCTCGGAATGATTGTAAACGCGGTCAAAGAACATGGATATGGCTCTTTCAGTGGGCAAGTTCGTAGATAGATTTTCAACATCTAGAGAGGCTAGTAGACCGTTAGGTTGACGAGATCGCACGATATCAATAAGCTCATCCGTTGACGACAAACTGTAGGACATGCAAAGTATGGGAACAGAATATCATTAAGACGTTTTGTAGTTTTATAGGTTGGTGAACGGATCTGTGACATTATTGGACGAAGGGGGTTGCCATTTTTGTGAGTTTTTACAGACCTGTAAGTATAACCAGGCGCAAATTCACCCGTTTTCTTGGAAAAGTGTGTGCCATCAACGGCGGCATAGGCAGCAGTGATGCGTTTGTTAAGTTTTGGTATTGAGTTTGTCTGTTGGATCTTTTGTGATGCGCCGGAACTTCTTGTCGTCGTTCAAGATGAAGTTTTGTTTCTCATGATATTCCTTTTTGCCAAGTATTACGTAGAGTGATGATTTGTCCGCTCGCCGAATGATGATGTCGTCTTTTCCTCTAAGTTTTTAGCCGCCGTCCTGAGTTCTTGTGTGAATATCTTGCTCCTATAATTTCCACGTTTTTTCGTGCTCTCTCCCAGTAAGCTGTTCTTTAGATCCTTCTCTAAGGTTATCTTGTCCTCTTTTTCCAAATTCAAGATATCCTGGTCAATAATTTCTAGTTATACCTTCTTCTTAAGTTTATCATATTTCGACAACACATGGCAATTAAGTCCAAGAAAAAGCACCTCTTGCTCCTCAGTAAGATCATGATGAGATAAATTGATGTAACCATTGGCAGTTTCCGGCAATATTATATGCCCACCATGGAGCCTTGAGAGCTTTTAGCAATATCCTGTTTCTAGTAAGATGCCTAGTATCATATTCAATCACGTCGAGTTCGTAAAGTACTTTTTGTTTTAGTTCATGTTCAGGGCAACATACCTGTAGCTCTTCTAAAACTTTTCTCTTTCTCTTTAGGATTCCGCAGGCCGTCTTCTTTCGCTGTAGTTGGTGATTCACTCAGGTGCCGCTGTGCCGCATCAGATGCCGTTACGTAGACGATTTCGTTAAGGAAGCTAGGGACATCGACCAACTAGGACGTCTAAAAAACAACCGTGAAGAGCCGTCAGGTTTATTATATATATATATATATATATATATATATATATATATATATATATATATATATATATATAATATACATGTATAATATATCATTATTATGTATATTATATATAATATATAATAATATATATATATAACCATCATTGTCGTCGTCATCATTTCACTAATGTCCTGTCAGATAACATATAATATAACAACATATATTGTGGACATGCACATAACACACCTCCAATATAGGTAGACGCCTCAATCCACCCCTCGATGGTGAGATGAAACCAGAACCATGCCTTGCCACAAGCAGTTGCGCAGGACGGAGCGCACCAAGTGTTTGGCGAACGCCATAGCCTAGAACACTCGGCCTCTGAGAACATCCGCCTCTAGAGCAACCAGTCAAACCGACATCAGTCACAATAAAAGCTGATTCAGTCTTTTCAATTCACATTGCGAGGCACACAAAGAATGATATCTGGGTGCATGTTTGCAAATAAGGCCTCGCACTGATCAAAAGGATACTGTCATTCAGAAGACGCATTTAAAGCGCAATGAAATATACATATGCACACATTTGCCTAAAACACATGGCAT